GTGAGCGATGAATGATACAGAGGGAGTGAGCGATGAATGATACAGAGGAGTGAGCGATGAATGATACAGAGGAGTGAGCGATGAATGATACAGAGGAGTGAGATGATGAATGATACAGATCCAGGAGGCTGTGAGGGATGAATGATACAGAGGAGTGAGGGCGATGAATGATACAGAGGAGTGAGCGATGAATGATACAGAGGAGTGAGCGATGAATGATACAGATGGAATGATACAGAGGAGTGAGGGATGAATGATACAGAGGAGTGAGGGATATGAATGATACAGAGGAGTGAGCGATGAATGATACAGAGGAGTGAGCGATGAATGATACAGAGGAGTGAGCGATGAATGATACAGAGGAGTGAGGGCGATGAATGATACAGAGGTGAGCGATGAATGATACAGAGGAGTGAGGGATGAATGATACAGAGGAGTGAGCGATGAATGATACAGAGGAGTGAGGGATGAATGATACAGAGGAGTGAGCGATGAATGATACAGAGGAGTGAGCGATGAATGATACACAGGAGTGAGGATGAATGATACAGAGGAGTGAGCGATGAATGATACAGAGGAGTGAGGATGAATGATACAGAGGAGTGAGGGATGAATGATACAGAGGGAGTGAGGGCGATGAATGATACAGAGGAGTGAGGGATGAATGATACAGAGGAGTGAGCGATGAATGATACAGAGGAGTGAGCGATGAATGATACAGGGAGAGTGAGGGATGAATGATACAGAGGGTGAGGGATGAATGATACAGAGGAGTGAGGATGAATGAATGATACAGAGGAGTGAGGTGATGATACAGAGGAGTGAGGATGATGAATGATACAGAGGGAGTGAGCGATGAATGATACAGAGGAGTGAGGGATGAATGATACAGAGGAGTGAGGGATGAATGATACAGAGGAGTGTGAGGGATGAATGATACAGAGGGAGTGAGGCGATGAATGATACAGAGGAGTGAGGGATGAATGATACAGAGGAGTGAGGCGATGAATGATACAGAGGATGTGAGCGATGAATGATACAGGGGAGTGAGCGATGAATGATACAGAGGAGTGAGCGATGAATGATACAGAGGAGTGAGCGATGAATGATACAGAGGAGTGAGCGATGAATGATACAGGAGGTGAGCGATGAATGATACAGAGGAGTGAGCGATGAATGATACAGAGGAGTGAGCGATGAATGATACAGAGGAGTGAGCGATGAATGATACAGAGGAGTGAGTGAGCGATGAATGATACAGAGGAGTGAGCGATGAATGATACAGAGGAGTGAGCGATGAATGATACAGGGAGTGAGTGATACAGGGGTGAGCGATGAATGATACAGAGGAGTGAGGGATGAATGATACAGAGGAGTGTGATGAATGATACAGAGGAGTGAGGGATGAATGATACAGAGGAGTGAGCGATGAATGATACAGAGGAGTGAGGGATGAATGATACAGAGGAGTGAGCGATGAATGATACAGGGGAGTGAGGGATGAATGATACAGAGGAGTGAGGGATGAATGATACAGAGGAGTGAGCGATGAATGATACAGGGGAGTGAGGGATGAATGATACAGGGGAGTGAGGGATGAATGATACAGAGGAGTGAGCGATGAATGATACAGAGGAGTGAGCGATGAATGATACAGAGGAGTGAGCGATGAATGATACAGAGGGAGTGAGGGATGAATGATACAGAGGAGTGAGGGATGAATGATACAGAGGAGTGAGTGAGCGATGAATGATACAGAGGAGTGAGGGATGAATGATACAGAGGAGTGAGGGATGAATGATACAGAGGAGTGAGCGATGAATGATACAGAGGAGTGAGGGATGAATGATACAGAGGAGTGAGCGATGAATGATACAGAGGAGGATGTGAGCGATGAATGATACAGAGGAGTCGTGAGGGATGAATGATACAGAGGAGTGAGCGATGAATGATACAGAGGAGTGAATGAGCGGTGAGGGATGAATGATACAGAGGAGTGAGGGATGAATGATACAGAGGAGTGGGTGAGGATGAATGATACAGGGAGTGAGCGATGAATGATACAGAGGAGTGAGGGATGGATGATACAGAGGAGTGAGCGATGAATGATACAGAGGAGTGTGAGCGATGGGATGATACAGAGGAGTGAGCGATGAATGATACAGAGGATGTGAGCGATGAATGATACAGAGGAGTGAGCGATGAATGATACAGAGGAGTGAGGGATGAATGATACAGAGGAGTGAGGGATGAATGATACAGAGGAGTGAGGGATGAATGATACAGAGGAGAGTGAGCGATGAATGATACAGAGGAGTGAGCGATGAATGATAATGAGGGGTGAGGGATGAATGATACAGTGGGAGTGAGGGATGAATGATACAGGAGTGAGGATGAATGATACAGAGGAGTGAGCGATGAATGATACAGAGGAGTGAGCGATGAATGATACAGGGAGTGTGAGCGATGAATGATACAGAGGAGTGTGAGCGATGAATGTTACAGAGGAGTGAGCGATGAATGATACAGAGGAGTGAGGGATGAATGATACAGAGGAGTGAGGGATGAATGATACAGGGGAGTGAGCGATGAATGATACAGAGGAGTGAGCGATGAATGATACAGAGGAGTGAGCGGATGAATGATACAGAGGAGTGAGGATGAATGATACAGAGGAGTGAGGATGAATGATACAGAGGAGTGAGCGATGAATGATACAGAGGAAGTGAGCGATGAATGATAGGAGGACTTGTGAGGGATGAATGATACAGAGGAGTGAGCGATGAATGATACAGAGGAGTGAGGGATGAATGTACAGAGGAGTGAGGAGGATGAATGATACAGAGAGGAGTGAGCGATGAATGATACAGAGGAGTGAGCGATGAATGATACAGGGGAGTGTGAGCGATGAATGATACAGAGGAGTGAGCGATGAATGATACAGAGGAGTGAGCGATGAATGATACAGAGGGTGGACCGTGAGGATGAATGATACAGAGGAGTGAGGGATGAATGATACAGAGGAGTGAGCGATGAATGATACAGGAGATTGAATGATACAGGGGAGCGATGGAATGATACAGAGGAGTGAGGGATGAATGATACAGAGGAAGTGAGGATGAATGATACAGAGGAGTGAGGGATGAATGATACAGAGGAGTGAGCGATGAATGATACAGAGGAGTGAGGGATGAATGATACAGAGGAGTGAGCGTGAGCGATGAATGATACAGAGGAGTGAGCGATGAATGATACAGAGGAGTGAGGGATGAATGATACAGAGGAGTGAGGGATGAATGATACAGAGGAGTGAGCGATGAATGATACAGAGGAGAGTGAGGGATGAATGATACAGAGGAGTGAGCGAGCGATGAATGATACAGAGGAGTGAGTGAGGGATGAATGATACAGAGGAGGGGAGCGATGAATGATACAGAGGATGTGAGCGATGAATGATACAGAGGAGTGAGCGATGAATGATACAGAGGGAGTGTGCGATGAATGATACAGAGGAGTGAGGGATGAATGATACAGAGGAGTGAGGGATGAATGATACAGAGGAGTGTGAGGGATGAATGATACAGAGGAGTGAGGGATGAATGATACAGAGGAGTGAGGGATGAATGATACAGGGGAGTGAGGCGATGAATGATACAGAGGAGTGAGCGGATGAATGATACAGAGAGTGAGGGATGAATGATACAGGGAGTGAGGGATGAATGATACAGAGGAGTGAGGGGATGAATGATACAGAGGGAGTGAGCGATGAATGATACAGAGGAGTGAGGGATGAATGATACAGAGGAATGTGAGGATGAATGATACAGGGGAGTGAGCGATGAATGATACAGAGGGAGTGAGGGATGAATGATACAGAGGAGTGAGCGATGAATGATACAGAGGAGAGGAGTGAGGATGAATGATACAGGGAGTGAGCGATGAGGAGTGAGGGAATGATACAGGGAGGAGTGTAGGATGAATGATACAGAGGAGTGTGGAGGGATGAATGATACAGAGGAGTGAGGGATGAATGATACAGAGGAGTGAGCGATGAATGATACAGAGGAGTGAGCGATGAATGATACAGAGGAGTGTGAGCGATGAATGATACAGAGGAGTGAGCGATGAATGATACAGAGGAGTGAGCGATGAATGATACAGAGGAGTGAGCGATGAATGATACAGAGGATGTGAGCGATGAATGATACAGAGGAGTGAGCGATGAATGATACAGAGGAGTGAGGATGAATGATACAGAGGAGGTGAGCGATGAATGATACAGAGGAGTGAGCGATGAATGATACAGAGGAGTGAGCGATGAATGATACGGAGGAGTTGGTTGTGAGCGATGAATGATACAGAGGGTGGTGAGGGATGAATGATACAGAGGAGTGATCGATGAATGATACAGAGGATGTGAGCGATGAATGATACAGAGGAGTGAGGGATGAATGATACAGAGGAGTGAGGGATGAATGATACAGAGGAGTGAGGGATGGATGATACAGAGGAGTGAGCGATGAATGATACAGAGGAGTGAGCGATGAATGATACAGAGGAGTGAGAGCGATGAATGATACAGAGGAGTGAGGGATGAATGATACAGAGGAGTGAGGGATGAATGATACAGAGGATTGTGTGAGCGATGAATGATACAGAGGAGTGTGCGATGAATGATACAGAGGAGTGAGCGATGAATGATACAGAGGAGTGAGCGATGAATGATACAGAGGAGTGAGCGATGAATGATACAGAGGAGTGAGCGATGAATGATACAGAGGAGTGAGCGATGAATGATACGGGAGGAGGTGAGCGATGAATGATACAGGGGAGTGAGGTTATGTGTGCTGTAGGGTTGAAGTTAAGGGGGACAAGGAGGAGTGATCAGAAAATCATACACTACATTGCCCCAAATATTGTCCCGCCCCCTCCATATCATGTGATTCGGGTGTGTTCCAATCCCCTCCATATCATGTGATTCAAGTGATCCAATCACCTCCATATCATGTGATTCAGGTGTTCCAATCCCCTCCATATCATGTGATTCGGGTGTTCCAATCCCCTCCATATTATGTGATTCGGGTGTTCCAATCCCCTCCATATCATGTGATTCAAGTGTTCCAATCACCTCCATATCATGTGATTCGGGTGTTCCAATCCCCTCCATATCATGTGATTCGGGTGTTCCAATCCCCTCCATATCATGTGATTCGGGTGTTCCAATCCCCTCCATATCATGTGATTCGGGTGTTCCAATCCCCTCCATATCATGTGATTCAGGTGTTCCAATCCCCCCCATATCATGTGATTCGGGTGTTCCAATCCCCCCATATCATGTGATTCGGGTGTTCCAATCCCCTCCATATCATGTGATTCGGGTGTTCCAATCCCCTATCATATCATGTGATTCGGGTGTTCCAATCCCCCCATATCATGTGATTCGGGTGTTCCAATCCCCCCCATATCATGTGATTCGGGTGTTCCAATCCCCTCCATATCATCATGTGATTCGGGTGTTCCAATCCCCTCCATATCATGTGATTCAGGTGTTCCAATTCCCTCCATATCATGTGATTCAGGTGTTCCAATCCCCTCCATATCATATGACATCAGATGTTCCAATCCCCTCCATATCATGTGATTCAGGTGTTCCAATCCCCTCCATATCATGTGATTCAGGTGTTCCAGTCCTCTCCATATCATGTGATACAGGTGTTCCAATCCCCTCCATATCATGTGATTCAGGTTTTTCCAGTCCTCTCCATATCATGTGATACAGGTGTTCCAGTCCTCTCCATATCATGTGATACAGGTGTTCCAATCCCCTCCATATCATGTGATTCAGGTTTTCCAGTCCTCTCCATATCATGTGATTCAGGTGTTCCAGTCCTCTCCATATCATGTGATACAGGTGTTCCAATCCCCTCCATATCATGTGATTCAGGTTTTCCAGTCCTCTCCATAATCATGTGATTCAGGTGTTCCATCCCCTCCATATCATGTGATTCAGGTACTCCAACCTCCTCCATATCATGTGATTCAGGTGTTCCAATTCCTCCAATCATGTGATTCAGGTGTTCCAATCCCCTCCCAATCATGTGATTCAGGTGTTCCAATCCCCTCCATATCATGTGATTCAGGTGTCCCAATCAGTGATCAGGTTTCCAATCCCCCTCCATATCATGTGATTCAGGTTTTCCAATCCCCTCCATAATATGTGATTCAGTGTGTTCCAATCCCCTCCATATCATGTGATTCAGGTGTTCCAATCCCCTCCATATCATGTGATTCAGGTGTTCCAATCCCCTCCATGGACACAGGTGTATACAATCAAGCCCCTAGGCATGCAGACGGCTTCTACAAACATTGGTGAAAGAATGGGTCGCCCTCAGGAGCTCAGTGACTCCAAGCGTGGTCCCGTGATAGGTGGCCACCCGGGCAATAAGTCCATCCGTGACATTTCCTGGCTACTAAATATTCCACGCTCAACTGTTAGTGGGATTATAACAAAGTGGAAGCCACTGGGAACAACAGCCACTCAGCCACCAAGTGGTAGGCCACGTCACATGACATGGGCTGGGGTCAGCATGCTGAAGCGCACAGTGCGCAGAAGTCACCAACTGTCTGCAGAGTCAATAGCTAAAGACCTCCAAACTTGGTGTGGCCTTCAGATGAGCCAACAACAGTGCGTAGAGAGCTTCATGGAATGGGTTTCCATGGCCGAGCAGCTGCATCCAAGCCTTCCATCACCAAGTGCAATGCAAAGCGTCGGATGACGTGGTGTAAAGCACGCTGCCACTGGACTCTAGAGCAGTGGAGGCGTGTTCTCTGGAGTGACCAATCACACTTCTCTGTCTGGCAATCCGATGGACATGTCTGGGTTTGGTGGTGGCCCAGGAGAACGGTACTTACCTGACTGCATTGTGCCAAGTGTAAAGTTTGGTGGAGGGGGGATTATGGTGTGGGGGTGTTCCTCAGGGGTTGGGTTGGCCCCCTAGTTCCAGCGAAGGGAACTCTTAAGGTGACATTTTGGACAATTTCATGCCCCCAACTTTGTGGGAGGAGTTTGGGGATGGCCCCTTCCTGTTCCAACATGACTGCCCACAGTGCACAAAGCAAGGTCCATAAAGACATGGAGGAGCCAGTTTGGGGTGGAGGAACTTGACTGTCCTGCACAGAGTCAATCACTATGTGTAGGCGATGGTTCCCCATAATCGATCACTATGTATAGACGATGGTTCCCCATAAATCGATCACTATGTATAGACGATGGTTCCCCATAATCGATCACTATGTATAGACGATGGTTCCCCATAATCGATCACTATGTGTAGGCGATGGTTCCCCATAATCGATCACTATGTGTAGGCGATGGTTCCCCATAATCGATCACTATGTGTAGGCGATGGTTCCCCATAATCGATCACTATGTATAGACGATGGTTCCCCATAATCGATCACTATGTGTAGGCGATGGTTCCCCATAATCGATCACTATGTGTAGACGATGGTTCCCCATAAATCGATCACTATGTGTAGGCGATGGTTCCCCATAATCGATCACTATGTGGAGACGATGGTTCCCCATAATCGATCACTATGTGTAGGCGATGGTTCCCATAATCGATCACTATGTGTAGGCGATGGTTCCCCATAATCGATCACTATGTGTAGGCGATGGTTCCCCATAATCGATCACTATGTGTAGGCGATGGTTCCCCATAATCGATCACTATGTGTAGGCGATGGTTCCCCATAATCGATCACTATGTGTAGGCGATGGTTCCCCATAATCGATCACTATGTGTAGGCGATGGTTCCCCATAATCGATCACTATGTGTAGGCGATGGTTCCCCATAATCGATCACTATGTGTAGGCGATGGTTCCCCATAATCGATCACTATGTATAGACGATGGTTCCCCATAATCGATCACTATGTGGAGACGATGGTTCCCCATAATCGATCACTATGTATAGACGATGGTTCCCCATAATCGATCACTATGTATAGACGATCGTTCCCCATAATCGATCACTATGTGTAGGCGATGGTTCCCCATAATCGATCACTATGTGTAGGCGATGGTTCCCCATAATCGATCACTATGTGTAGACGATGGTTCCCCATAATCGATCACTATGTATAGACGATGGTTCCCCATAATCGATCACTATGTATAGACGATCGTTCCCCATAATCGATCACTATGTGTAGACGATCGTTCCCCATAATCGATCACTATGTGGGGACGATGGTTCCCCATAATCGATCACTATGTGTAGGCGATGGTTCCCCATAATCGATCACTATGTGTAGGCGATGGTTCCCCATAATCGATCACTATGTGTAGGCGATGGCTCCCCATAATCGATCACTATGTGGAGACGATGGTTCCCCATAATCGATCACTATGTGTAGGCGATGGTTCCCCATAATCGATCACTATGTGTAGAGCGATGGTTCCCCATAATCGATCACTATGTGTAGGCGATGGTTCCCCATAATCGATCACTATGTATAGACGATGGTTCCCCATAATCGATCACTATGTGGAGACGATGGTTCCCCATAATCGATCACTATGTGTAGGCGATGGTTCCCCATAATCGATCACTATGTGTAGGCGATGGTTCCCCCATAATCGATCACTATGTGGAGACGATGGTTTCCCATAATCGATCACTATGTGTAGGCAATGGTTCCCCATAATCGATCACTATGTGTAGGCGATGGTTCCCCATAATCGATCACTATGTATAGACGATGGTTCCCCATAATCGATCACTATGTATAGACGATCGTTCCCCATAATCGATCACTATGTGGGGACGATGGTTCCCCATAATCGATCACTATGTGTAGGCGATGGTTCCCCATAATCGATCACTATGTGTAGGCGATGGTTCCCCATAATCGATCACTATGTGTAGGCGATGGTTCCCCATAATCGATCACTATGTGTAGGCGATGGCTCCCCATAATCGATCACTATGTTGTAGGCGATGGTTCCCCATAATCGATCACTATGTATAGACGATGGTTCCCCCATAATCGATCACTATGTATAGACGATGGTTCCCCATAATCGATCACTATGTATAGACGATGGTTCCCCATAATCGATCACTATGTGGGGACGATGGTTCCCCATAATCGATCACTATGTGTAGGCGATGGTTCCCCATAATCGATCACTATGTGGAGACGATGGTTCCCCATAATCGATCACTATGTGTAGGCGATGGTTCCCATAATCGATCACTATGTGTAGGCGATGGTTCCCCATAATCGATCACTATGTGTAGGCGATGGTTCCCCATAATCGATCACTATGTGTATAGACGATGGTTCCCCATAATCGATCACTATGTGGAGACGATGGTTCCCCATAAATCGATCACTATGTGTAGGCGATGGTTCCCCATAATCGATCACTATGTGTAGGCGATGGTTCCCCCATAATCGATCACTATGTGGAGACGATGGTTCCCCCATAATCGATCACTATGTGTAGGCGATGGTTCCCCATAATCGATCACTATGTATAGACGATGGTTCCCCATAATCGATCACTATGTATAGACGATGGTTCCCCATAATCGATCACTATGTGGGGACGATGGTTCCCCATAATCGATCACTATGTGTAGGCGATGGTTCCCCATAATCGATCACTATGTGTAGGCGATGGTTCCCCATAATCGATCACTATGTGTAGGCGATGGTTCCCCATAATCGATCACTATGTGTAGGCGATGGTTCCCCATAATCGATCACTATGTGTAGGCGATGGTTCCCCATAATCGATCACTATGTATGTAGGACGATGGTTCCCCATAATCGATCACTATGTGGAGACGATGGTTCCCCATAATCGATCACTATGTGGAGACGATGGTTCCCCATAATCGATCACTATGTGTAGGCGATGGTTCCCCATAATCGATCACTATGTATAGACGATGGTTCCCCATAATCGATCACTATCATCACTATCGTTCCCCATAATCGTGTGTGGGACGATGGTTCCCCATAATCGATCACTATGTGTAGGCGATGGTTCCCCATAATCGATCACTATGTGTAGGCGACGATGGTTCCCCATAATCGATCACTATGTGTAGGCGATGGTTCCCCATAATCGATCACTATGTGTAGGCGATGGTTCCCCATAATCGATCACTATGTGTAGGCGATGGTTTCCCCATAATCGATCACTATGTATAGACGATGGTTCCCCATAATCGATCACTATGTATAGACGATGGTTCCCCCATAATCGATCACTATGTGGTAGACGATGGTTCCCCATAATCGATCACTATGTGTAGGCGATGGTTCCCCATAATCGATCACTATGTGTAGACGATGGTTCCCATAATCGATCACTATGTGTAGGCGATGGTTCCCCATAATCGATCCGATGGTTCCCCATAATCGATCACTATGTGTAGGCGATGGTTCCCCATAATCGATCACGATCCACATAATCGATCACTATGTGTAGGCGATGGTTCCCCATAATCGATCACTATGTATAGACGATGGTTCCCCATAATCGATCACTATGTGGAGACGATGGTTCCCCATAATCGATCACTATGTGTAGGCGATGGTTCCCCATAATCGATCACTATGTGTAGGCGATGGTTCCCCATAATCGATCACTATGTGTAGACGATGGTTCCCCATAATCGATCACTATGTGTAGGCGATGGTTCCCCATAATCGATCACTATGTGTAGGCGATGGTTCCCCATAATCGATCACTATGTGTAGACGATGGTTCCCCATAATCGATCACTATGTATAGACGATGGTTCCCCATAATCGATCACTATGTGGGACGATGGTTCCCCATAATCGATCACTATGTGTAGGCGATGGTTCCCCATAATCGATCACTATGTGTAGGCGATGGTTCCCCATAATCGATCACTATGTGTAGACGATGGTTCCCCATAATCGATCACTATGTGTAGGCGATGGTTCCCCATAATCGATCACTATGTGTAGGCGATGGTTCCCCATAATCGATCACTATGTATAGACGATGGTTCCCCATAATCGATCACTATGTATAGACGATGGGTCCCCATAATCGATCACTATGTGGTGACGATGGTTCCCCATAATCGATCACTATGTGTAGGCGATGGTTTCCCCATAATCGATCACTATGTGTAGGCGATGGTTCCCCATAATCGATCACTATGTGTAGACGATGGTTCCCCATAATCGATCACTATGTGTAGGCGATGGTTCCCCATAATCGATCACTATGTGTAGGACGATGGTTCC